CCGTCTCGTGTTCTTCTCTGGGAGCGACGAGACAGGCTTGCTCGGCTCGACATCATCTACTTCGGACAGATCGGTCTGCGGCGTGGCTGATATCTCTCCGTCCTTACTGAACTGGCTGTCCGTACCGGCAGTTGCTTCAGTACCTGTATCCGTACTCTGACTTTCTTCGTAGACCGCTATTAACTTGGGCTTCGGGTCATGCCATCCGTCAATGTCTGGGAGATTGAGTAGCGCCTCGTCGATGGAGTCGTCAGAAAATAGGAAACTGTCCTTGTTCTTGTTGGTGGAGCTTCCGTTCTTGGGGAAGAACTTGCTCTTTTGGGATTCCTCAGTTTTCGGTTCGGTAATGTCTGTGTCCGCACAGAGACGGACCTTCTTGGGAGGCCGTTGAGAACAGCCTTTCATCAGTGCATCAATGTCGCCTATAGTGTTTATCGCGTCACCGACGGTGATACGACGGGTTCCGTCAGAGCTGCTAGGGGCATGTTGCTGCAGTAAGTCCTGGATGGGCTCGGTCCGTCGTCGCAAGAGGCGAGGGGAAGTATTTGAACGGGCGGTTCGTGTGGGGCGAGAGCTGGCGGTTGGCTGTGATGATGAAGTGCCGTCGACATATGGTCGAGGAAGGGGGAAGACTCTGGGTACTAGGCCGTTGTGAGTAAGGGCGGCAACCCTCTCTGGGTCGACAGAGAAACAGTTGCGGTCCATTTCACCCATCGGAATACGCTGGTGGCCTTTAAAGTACGAATCAATCGGTTTAGTCGGTTGTCGCGTGCGGGTCGACGATGAAGAGACAGCCGCAAGGGCTTCTGCAGATTGAGAATGTCTTCTCTTCGTATCGGTCTTGAAGCCAGGCATAGGGGCGGGAATGATGGTCTCTTTGGTTATAGGGTTGACGTCTCCGAGTGCAATTGCCGTAGCCACGGCCGGCTCGACGTAGCCACCAATGAACGGCATATCCTCCACACCCTTGCCTTCCTCCGGTTCTGTCAAACATACCAACCGCTTCTTCGTCGGGCAGTAGACTCTTTGGTGGATAAACGTCAGCTCCGCCTGGGCAAACCGAGACATGTAGTTCTCTGAAACGCGATGCTTTCCCTCGAACTGGATCATCCGGACCAGTCGATCAATGGTCTTGTACTTGCGAATCATCCGGTAGGCCGTCTTGAGACCCATATTGTTGATGCCCTCGAGATAGTCGCACCCACTGAGAATGGCCATTCGGCGGAAGTCATCATCCGTCCACCCCGTAAGAGAAACCTCCCGAACCGCACAGAAATCCCTCCGGTTGATCTCGATACAATTGCCGTACTGGTCGAGTTTCGTGAGGAGCCTCTTGCAACCGAACACCAAAAGATCCGAGTCCTCCGATAGAATGCCGTTGATGAGGCCTTGGCGTTCGAGGTAAACGAGCTGAGCATCAGCCTCGTAGGGTGCGACGACGTACGAGATGTTCATCTTTTTCAATTCGTCAATGAGATTGCGAGCCATCTCTGGTGTGACATCAATGGCCTTCTGAAACTCGAGGGCTGCTTGCGATGACTTTCCGGCTCTGAGAAGCTCCATGGCTGATTTCTTGCTCTCTTCACGGCGTTTAGCGCGGGATCCCTCGGTGGCAGCTTTACTGGGAAGGAAGTCGCCATCAAAGACAATGTATGGTGTGACGCCGAAATGCTTGAGCATCCTCACCCGGTGCATGGCGAAGTCGACATATCTGAGGCAAGGTTAGGCATACAACCCCATGGTTGCGTAGCTAGGGAAGCGCGCTATGCACGGCGCATAGCTAGGGCCACTTACTTGCGGGTGGGGTTGCCCTTGGCCAGATCAACGGCGCAGGCAATGGCTCCTCTATGAAGCCATCCATAGGCGTCGACGCCGAGCGTCTCACCGGCGAATTTCTTCAACTCGGTTGGCCTGTGGATGGACTTGAGCAATGGAAGCAGGCCTAGGGGGGTTTGGTGAGCAAGGACGTTGACCGGACGGGAAGCAAGGGAGAAAAGGTACCTGAGACGCCCATTGTTGATCGCGAGAAGGGTTCGCAGGTCCTCAAAGATTGGCAAGTCGGGGTTTCCTGAGGGTTGCGTAGGTCTCTCCGATCCGATTCTCAGGCCAGAAGCCGACAAAGGGAAATCAATACTCAGTCCATTCGTTGAGAGAGAATGACGCGTAGGCAAGTCGTTCGCGTAAGGATTGGAAGTCGGAACGCCAAGTCAGGTGATCCGGGGGCAAATGTAAACAAAGCACTCGGGCGCTACGTTGACGAGTTCGGAAATGCCACTTGTACGGAGGAAACGCGACGACAGGTTGGAGAACTGGAAGAGGGGAAAAAGGCGAGGTCGAAAGAAATTCACCACGATGCTGAGGTCGGAGGAGCGAAGGTGTGCAGGTGGAGTGAATCACGGCTTCCTGCACAGGAAAGGGACGGTGGAATCGCCCGGGGGGACCTGGGCCTGCTATAGTGGAACGCGAGTGGACACACCGCACCGCGTCAGGCTCATATCGCGACTCCCACTTCTATTTCTCTCTCTGTCTTTTTTTTATTCTAATTTTTACGCAGGGACCAGACCGAGAAATTACCTCAAAGAGGATTAGCGTGCTCGGACAAGGATAACCAGAGCAACGTCACTCTGTCCGGATTTGGTTGAAGACCATTGGACCCTTCCCGGGGGTTAAGTGGAGAAGTCAGGTACTCTTTTCATCCAATGTCTGTGCACACAGCAAACGCACCTGCAGACTCGGATGGGATTTTCATCGGGTGGGGCACAGACCGACTTTCACAGAACCAGTGCCATCGCAAATCTCATTCTGCGTCTTGTTCAACTCTGAGAATCATCGATCTCAGATACCATTCTCACTGTGAACTGACCCGGTCTCATTCGCTCTGATATCCAGTACCGCCAACATGCCCTCAACATTAGAAAAGGCTCGCAAGCACATTGCGAAGAAGCGCAACGGCCATGACCTAGCCCTGCATGAGTTTTCCAGAGACTCCAAGCGCCTTCACAAGGCCTCGATCAGAGACCAAAGGCTAGGAAAGCTCCACGCCTCAAAGAACAAGAAGGAGCAGCCCATGAGTGAGCTGTCACAGTTCAGGTACATCGAGCCTCGCCAACTGACAGCTGGTAGTTGACCGTGCCTCCTTTTTTCAAAAGGCGATACAGGAGAAGGGATCCGAACCCCTCGACTTGGCCGCCGTTCAGGAGCTCATCAGCAAGTACGTCTCAGAAGCCGAACAGCCCACACCCGTTGAGCAAACACTGACACGTTGCCAGGTTTGTGCACCAGTACGATGAGGAGTACGCCGAGGTCAAGAAGACCCGCCGTGCCGGCCGCCCTGCAAGTGCCAAGGAAGACTTGCTCAAGCTGAGAATCTCTAACCTTGAAGAAGAGTACAAGATCGGATTTTGTCAGTCGACTCCCGACATGGTATCTCTCCTTCGCGGCATTCTAACATCTTTGTAGACCTTCCTGACCTCACAACATCGTCCAACATCATCCAACTCGACCGCTGGGAGGGTTCATGGGCTTACCTCACCAACCTCGCCTGGGTCAAGATCACGAGTGACGGGAACGTCAGACCCTCCAGCTTCCCTCCCAGGGTTTAGTTTCTGGAATCTTACAGCATGATCATGGCGTTTTCTTTTTCGGCGTTTGGGGGAGAACACGAGGCCACGAGCCCGCTAGGCCTTGAAGCAGCATCATCGATTGCACCGGGAGAAAGGATGGGGGGATCAACCGTCGGCTCCAATTTCTGTATACGGCTCCTCGCACGGTGCCACTATAGAAGGGCGTCTTTTTCGCGAGCAATGTCTCAGACAAGTCAGGCACTGTATCGGAGTTCTTGTTTGGCCAACCGACAAATTTCTCCGGTTACATACAGTAACCGTGCATGTTGAGGTGCGAATGGCCCAATGTTCGGATCACAGCAGACCACGCATGGCCAAATCACTGGCTCGTCAGCGTCTGAGCCATGATTCTCCTGTGCCGTCGCACAAAAGGGGGTTCGGCAAAGGGGGGCCAAATGTGGAGAGCATGTGGCTTCATGGGAATCGCGCGCCATACCGATGGTCCTTCGGAGGGGGGTTGCCAAAAGGCGGGCGGCAGAGACCGAAGCAGCGTCATATAAAGAGCCAACGTGGCGGTTTTGCATGAAACGATTACTTCCGAAACTCTGGGTGAGGCTCGGCGAACGCCACTTGAGAACCTTGCAGCCTAGTAATATATGATCATCTTCGTCCCAGATCGTCCAACCATCGAACTTCCATGTCGCACGCCGGTAGTCACGATGATGCCGGGAACCGAAAGGTCCTGACCCTACAGCTCCACTGCACAACGCCTTTCCTCAGTGTCGTTTGTCCATGCCCAGACTGGCCAAGGAGGTCCAGATCATGCATCCCATCTGCCCCAAGCCTCCTGAACCAGGTCATTGGGACCAACTTGTCAACGAATCGTTATCGTACTTTATACTTAAACCCAGCTTTTCCTCGAGTTTCAAGTGCGACATTACACTGCCGGTCTGCTTCTTTGCGAGGCTTTCGACGGTTACACGCCTGTAAAGTCTTGTGGTCGGAGTGAACCCATTTACTCTACTCGATCCAAGGCTCTTCCCACAAAGGTGAGATGCTGTGAACAGAACAGTGTCTGAGAATGTCGCAGAACAGAGGATCAAGATGCTGGCGAGCGCTTATGGTAAGAATGGCATCATGCTGTTGGACAACAATGGCGGCCCGGGGCCGGGCTCTTGTTGAGCTGGATCGATGAGCTGGATCTCGGGAAAGATTCCCGTCACGCAGGATCGCTCGGTTATCTCTAAGTGTATATCATCGAGCCCGATCTCTGGGTCTCTGCGCTCCCATTCATCACCGTCGGAGTGTTAAGTTCCACAGTGCTGCAATTCTCAGTTAACAGACCGTCTCGCCGATCTTTCCAGCCATTTCAATATTTTCTCTACACTTTCGACAATCCATCCATCTTTGAGCCACGCCTCTCAGGAATGTAAGCCACCTCTCAGAATCTGACGCAGTAAAGACATATGCTTATATAGACACCTAGCAAGCCATGTGCAAATACATCACACACCTCCGCGTCTGCAACGTGTGCAGTCACCAAGATACGGTCCTCATATCGGAAAGACCCTGCTTCCTCGCCAAGAAAAACGGAGTGTTTGGAAGCTGTGATGCCGGCATAGGCAGTGACCGCAGCTGTACGCGATATCACTGTTGGAAGTGTAAAGAGAAGGTCCTTCTCATCCCTCAGCCATCACCAGTGTCACTACACCTCAGTCTTCACTGAGAGAAGGACAAAGGAAAGTGGAAAACGGTGCAGTCTGGACGAGGAGGGTGAAAACTGTAGAGCCTTTTCATGGTACCTTAAGCTAGCTGCAGGCCAGCTAGGAATATATCTAATTTCCCTGGATCTTGATGTTTGCTATTTGGGGTGGTTTCTTGGAGACGAGCCGACGGCTTCACACGGCGAATCCTAGGTGTCGGTACATCTGGATCCTGTTGCTACCTATTGAAGCTTAGCTCAGATTCCGTATCGATAACATCAAAACCAAGGTGCTTCTGTGGATCGATTCCAGATGCAGTGGAGTTTTTGGTCTGGTGCCTGAATTTGACAAAGTGTTTGCAGAATGGACCCTGCCGTCCAGTCCCTGGCGGTTCCGCTCCACCTAGCGCCCGGCTGGTGCGGGTCTCACGCGGGAAAAGGTTTCGCCGAATTGTAATCTGATGTCAAAAATTTTGGGAGCTCTCCAAAGCTTTTTTGCGACCAGGCAGATCCAGCCAATCCACCTCCACCTTCCTCCAACAAGCTTTTGCACCTCTCCTTGCCTCAACTATCACCCTCTCAACACAACACCTCAGTCCACCACCCATCATGCTTTCCATCAGATCCGTCGCGCGCTCTGCGCCCAGAGCTTTCACCCGCCTTTCCCTCAGACAGACTGCGCGCCCTAGTGCCTTTATCAAGGCCTCCTCATGGAGCGCTGCCGTTCAGACTCAGCGCGCATCAGCCTTCTCCAGCTCTGCCTTCAGGAAATCTGCCGCCGGCGAGACCGATGCTGAGCTCGTCGCCAAGCTCGAGAGCGAGCTTCAGTTCGAGGAGGAGGTGAAGCAGAACGAGCAGCTGCCCGCGAGCGTCAAGGACTTCATCGACAACAGCCCCTTTGAGCTCCACGACACTCCTGGCAAGGAGGAGGTCAAGCTCACCCGCAAGTTTGGCGAGGAGAAGTAAGTTTGCATCCCGAGCATCGTCAAGCAGAAACTGTGAAACCGGAAACTAACAGAAAAACCTCAGGATCACAATCACTTTCTCCATTGCTGACCTCGCCAACTACGACCCCGAGATGTACGACCAGGACCGCGCCCTCGAGGACGAGGAATTCGAGTCCGACGTCCAGAACCCCAACAAGCAGTCCGGCGTCCAGTCATCCGGCGGCGCCCGCTCCGCCAACGCCGAGGAGCACCTCGAGGAGGAGGAGGGCGACCTCGACGAGGCCGCTCCCCCTTGCCGCCTGAGCATCGTCGTCGAGAAGCCCGGCAAGACCCCCGGCGCCCTCAACATTGACGCCACCGCTCAGGACGGCGCCATCGTGGTCGACAATATGTTCTACTACGAGGACGGCAAGCTCGCTCACGCCTCCAACGCCGAGGTCGCCCACGCCCGCAGCGACATCTACCCCGGCCCCCCCTTCGGCAGCCTGGACGAGGACCTGCAGATCCTGATGGAGCGCTACCTCGAGGAGCGCGGCATCACCCAGGCCCTGGCCGTCTTCGCGCCCGACTACATTGACGTCAAGGAGCAGCGCGAGTACGTCCGGTGGTTGAACAACGTCAAGGGCTTCGTCAACGCCTAAATTCAAGTTCAATGATGACTCTGTTTGGAAGGGAAAAAAATATGTTGGGAAGAAAAAAGCTCAATGATGTATGATGGCGCGGAGCGCGTGCAAAGTGTAAGATGATACGAAAACCCTCACCTGGAAAAGGACCTTCTTGGCTTGTCTTATAGCTGTTTTCCACTCTACGATGTACCATATCAAATCATGGCCTGGCCGGCGTGCCGGTTGCCCACCTAAGAAACTGTAATATCAAAAAATTCTCCTGCACACATGTTGCACATTGGGGCCACTGAGCATTTGGCCAATAGCGTAAAAGAGATTAGAGAGCGGCTCTTTAGCGAAGAATCATTTCAAGTAACAAGACAATCTTTCACATTGCTCAGGGTCCTACTTAGACTCTAAACTAGAAACTGTCGACATCAACAAGTCGTGCATTGAGCCGTCGCGCAAAGCGACGTAGATTTCGCTGGTCAAGGTGCCTATGGTCTTCTTCCCCGGTTCGCCGGGGCTTTCGTTGGTTCCCAACGTTGTCGGATAGTCTTGCAAACCGCGATGCATTGGAACACCTAGAGTTTTCCTGACATATTTGTAGATTGCCTTTGAAGCAACCCCGAGATATGCGCCTGTGCTTGGGTTCTCTGAAAACCGCAAGCGTGTCTTGCAGTATTCATGACTGATTCGTTCGGCGGACTGCTTTGTATAAGCGCCCATGGCCTTGAAAGCAATGATCAACTCCTCAGGACGCATACCCTCGAAATACGGGGCCAAGATTTCAAGTTGTCCACCTTTCGCTTCCCGCGCAGCAGCTCGACCTCGGTCTTCCACGTCCAGGTTGGCCAGGCTGTTCCACTTCTGGAGCAGGATCTCGCCACAACGCCGGGCAATGTCGTCCGCTCCGTCGGCGGCTCTGGGAAACCCGATACAGTTCTGAGCAACTTCTAGCATCGCGGGTCTTGCCACGCTGCAAAACTCGAGATGGAGACATTGCAGGTCGAGGGCCTGACAAAGGGCGTATATGTACGTTGCCACCATGAGGTACAAGATCTCGGTCATCTCCAACGTGTTCCTGGCAGCGATCAACGCGAGCGAGTTGACCGACTGGTTGTTCATCTCGGCGCTCTGAATATGCGCGGACACGGGGTGGGATAGGTGGGCCAGCTCAGACATGTACGCTGCCATGGTGATGTCCAACCCCTTGGTAGTGAAAGACTTGCTCGGGTTGTCGGCGGCGAGGTTGGGCGGCAGGCAATCGTTGAGCTTGGCGTTGAGAAGCTCTGTGCATTGAGCGAAAATAAGTTTGCCCAATAGCTGCATGCAGGACGAGACCTTTTCCATGGCGGAAGTGACAGCCAACGCTTGGAAGTTGCCTCCTTGATGTACGGTTTCGGTCTCGACGTCAAAGAGGGGATTATCCGTGGTGCTGTTGATCTCAACTTGTATTTGTTGTTGAGCTAGCATCAGGTCCTCAAGTAACGGACCAATCCATTGGGGCGCGGTTCGAAGAGGATATCGGTCTTGTACGAGGCCTTCGGCATGGTGGTCTCCCTTTCTGGTCAACTTGGATCCGGAGAGAAAACGTAGTATGTTGCACGCAGCCTCCACCTGTCCCAGATGCGGTCGGCACTGGGATATGAACGGGTGGTAATTCGACTGCCGGCCACGTAGTGCCTCGGTTGCCATGGCGGTAAGGAATTGCGACATCGTGGCGAGTTGATGAGCCTGGTGCATGGCGACACAGGCCGCTGCGGCGCTCGTAGCAGTGCCGTTTGTGATACCCAGAGCTTCCTTGGCTTCAAACCGCACCGGCTCTAGGCCCATCGTTTTCAAGGCTTCCTTTGCGGTCATGAACTTTGGTCTTTGCGCGCCGACAGCAACGTAGACATCCGAGTTGCCCTCCAAAACGCCGGCAATGTAAGACAGAGGTATCAGGTCCCCAGAAGCAGAGATGCTGCCGCGCAGCGGGACAATCGGAATGACATGGTTGTCCAGCAGATTCAACATAGCTTCCAGAACTTCCAGACGGACACCAGAATGACCACGCAGCAGAGAGTTGACTCGGACGAGGAGCATTCCTCTGACAATGGAGGTAGGAAGGGCATGCCCTCTCCAGGCTTGCATTCCAAGATGACTTTCGCCATAGAGATCTGAGCCCTTGTCGGAAGGTAGAAGTATACCAACTTGGAGAAGTTGCAGTAGTCCTCTCTGCAATTCTTCATGATCAGAAGTGCGAACGTCGGCACTTCCGCCAAATCCTGTCGTGATGCCATAAATTGTGGCTTCTTGGCGAAGCTTCAGGCGCAACAGCGCAGTGCTTTCATGGACCTTGTTGATGATGTTGGTATCCGATGTCAAAGAGACGGGGGTGTGATAGTGGCTGACGGCTACCACGTCGGAAAGTGATAAAGTCTGACCGTCTACAACGACACGGGAATGCGAGTCGAGCAACTGCTGTACATGTTTCCATTGCCCGGACACAAGATGGAGATGTCCCATCAACATGGTTGTATGATAAGCCCCAGTTAGAACTTGGACAAAATATGGCTTGGAGATGAGTGAATGGTGCTCAGCTGGGTGAAAGATGATGGATCAAGGAGTGACGGAGAATGCAAGAGTGAAGCATGTCAGTCTAGTTTTAAGTTAATTCAACTTATAAATACCCGGATGCGAAGAAACCATAGCACGTAGACTGCGGTTCTCGCTCCTCAACCTCGTTCTTCCTGTCCTCAAGATCTTTAGGGTTCGGCGCCATTCGCTCTAGAGCCCCGGCCAGCTGCAAGCTTCGAAAACCTCGGAGGCCCAAGAGGGCTTCCCTTGACACGATTCATGCACTCGGATATCTCGCGGGAAGTTTGAGGATCAATGCTTGACTCGTCCCTACACGATGGTTGGTACACAGGTCAATCAACAGGAGCCGCCGGGAATCAAGTCAAGCCCACGGAAAGAACTCCACCAGTGATACGAGATGCCGCAATCATGATTTTATCCACATTCCTAGAAGTGTTGGCGGTGCGAACTGTGTTCCTCTTAGCTTCTTGTCGTCGGATACAACTGGACTGATTTTCGGTCTAAAATCTGATTTTTCTGCCCAGTATCGTGAGAGGTCTAAAAGACGCTACCTTACTTGCTTATCCCTCTTTTTCACAAGCGGACGCTGGCGATTCATCTGGTTAAATATTCCGGAATTCAAGCGAATGCACCTTCATGCTGCCCAGGCCCCCTGGCATGTCTCGAACTTTAAGAGAAGCTATTCAGACACGTGTTACAGAGGCTTCTCCAGGTAGGAAGATAGATCGTGAAATTGATCATCTTCCTCACTCAACAGATTCGTATTGGCACAATGCTGCATGCAGGATAAGGTTCGAGCTATCCAAGTAACCCCTCAACTACACGGCTTACGATAGTGGCAAGATCCATCAAACTTTAAGTGAAGCTATTCAGAGTAGGCTTCCTATGATAAATCGTAGGGATGATCTACCTCAATGGCCGCGTAATTGCTCAACATTTCGAATTAGCACAACGCTACTTTTGGGAAAAGGTTTCAACTAATAAGGCAATGAGAGCACAATTTATCCCTCAAAAGCACGGAATCTGCCGTTGGTAGCAAGTCTGGAGTCTGAAGCCTAATATCTATATAAGTTGCAAAGAGGTACGGATTTCTATCCCGTAATTTGCTTTCTGTTCAAACATACCTAGTTTTCAGCCGGAATACAACAGTCACCCAATTAGACGTCCTATTCTTGCAATCTTGCAAGAATTGTGAAAAATCCATCATGGCAATATCATCACAGTACGCTGAACGCACGTATCATGACACTTCATCTCCATATGTTTTGCCCAATGAGTAAGTACTACCGGAAATCCGCCGATACTTCTCGATGAATACGAGCTTACTGACTTATGCTAGTACCCCGGAGCAAGCTCGTCTCGATGAACAAGCACTTGCCATCCAGTCCATGCTGGGAGGGAAGCCTTTTCTCTTCGACCTGAGACTTCTCCCGAGCAAGTCGAGAATCCTCGACATAGGATGTGGAACTGGGGTAGCCACGACCGAGCTAGCACGACAATGTCCTTCTTCTCGTGCGTACGGAATTGATCTGTCTGCAGTTCCTGAACACGTCAAAGCTTCAGCTCCGACCAATGTCACCTTTTTGAAAGGCAACATCATGGAAGATCTGTCCGAGCAGGGTCTCGAGGAGCAAAGCTTGGACTACGTGTTTGGTCGTATGCTGTTCCTCGCAATCGACGACTGGAAAGAGTACTTTTCACGCGTCCACCACCTCTTGAAGCCCGGTGCCATTGTCGAGCACCAGGACTGCTCCTGGGAGTACTACCGGCAAGGTACACAGACAAAGCTCAGCGGAAATTGGTCCTGGCATCAAGCAGTTCTAGAGGAGTCACAGGCTATGGGACTGGATATCCTCGTTGGCGATCATGTCGGGGATCACATGAAAGCCGCCGGGCTCGAAGTGCTTCTTACGCAGTCGTTCGAGTTCTCCATGGTACCGTCTGAGAGAAATGTTCCCAGCGCAGCAGTCGGTTACTATGCGCAGCGCACTCTTCTCAAGGCATTTCCAGATCTTCTCAGAAAGATATTGACAAAGAGGGACTTGTACAGTGATGAAGATGTTTCGAAATTGACAAAGGAGTGCCTTGAGACGTCATCCGCGGAGGAAGGGATTTTTGTCAAGTACACAGTCACCATTGGGAGGAAGCCGGCCCAGTAGTAGCTCATAGTTAATGCGGTCTCTGGCTAAGGGATGGGGTGTGCATGTTTTTGACTTCTTCTATTTCTTTCCTCTTGACTGGCTAATGTTGAGTACATTCTGCTATCTACCTCCTCTAGTAATTGATTCTAACGAGTCTTTGCTCAATGGCCTGTCAAAATATTGTTCGCTGTCTCGGAGGTGGCCTCGCTCTGTGGACTCGACGAAATGCATGATGTGTGGTTGGGCGACTGAAACCAACTGGCACTAGTCACGTAGCACGATAACGGTGACAGGCGACTTACACGTGTATTA